CTGAATTTCCATGCTTTTGACCCAAGGTTATCATTCATCCCAAAATTATTTAAAAGGTATTATCTAGAATATGCCTTGTCTACTACAAACCTTTTTTTGATTCACTGTGTATCATTCCAAATATAAGAACTTAGAGAGTGAGAACTCTGGAACCAGACCACCTGGGCAAGTGACCTCAGGCCAGTCACTTATACTTCTCTTTTTAAAATATCTTTATTTTTTTAAATGTGGTGCTAAGAATTAAACCCAGTGCCTCACATATGCTAGGCAAGTGCTCTACCACTGAGCTGCAACAGCAGCCCCACTTATGCTTCTCTTTACCTCAATTTCCTCACTTGCAAAATAAGGATAAAAATTCTTCAAAAAGTTATTGTAAGAATGAAATGAGTTAGCATATGCAAGTGTTCTAGACACCTAGTGTAAGGATCTTATAAGCATTTGCTATCATTATTAAGTAATGGAATACTCAACTAAAAGCAGAGATGTTAGAGATTATCACAGAACAAAATTAACATTGGCAGTTCCAGAGTTAGTCTTGTCATTTAGCTAAGGCATTGGGGACCAGTCCCTTTCCATATCCCATTGCTATACTTAGCATGTTAATGTTTATTCTCTCACGGCTGCAGTAGCCCCAAGTATCACATCCATCATCCCAAGCAAGACTTAAAGAGCAAAGCTCTTTTTGCTCCCATGCTCTTAACAAGCTTTCCTAGAAGCTCCCAGCAGGGTTCTACTCATCTGGAATTTAGTCATATAACCAACCCTCACTGCAAAGGGAGCTGGGAAAGAGAATCTGGCACTTCCAATTTGTAACAAAACAGGCAAAAGTGGGGCTGGCTGTTGGGTAGATAAGTGGTAGCTCTGCAATCTGGAAGCCAAGGAGTTTCGGGTCAGGGGTAATGGAGAAACCAGAATGCAGCAGAATTCATCTGGGATGAATAAGCTATAAACTTCATCCTTTAGTCATTAGCYGTTTTAAGCAGTCTCTCAATCCTGGGTAAGTGTCATGTTGGTGAATTAAGAATTTTTTTTTCTCTTTTGAGACAGGGGTCTCATTATGTTGCCCAGGATAGACTTGAACTCCTGGGATCAAGCAATCCTCTTACCTCAGCCTTCCAAATAGCTGGGACCACAGGTGGGCACCACCACACCTGGCTGAAGAGAGGATATTTTTGATCAGGGGGTCCTTCCTAGTCTTCTCACCTGTTCTAGTCWGCTACCATTCCTTCCAACAAATCAAAGGAGAGGGCTCATGATTCAGTGAGATTTGTCCAAGAGGCTGAGTAGGCTAGTCACTGTTAGAGCCATCTGAGAACAACCAATCACAGTGGTGCATTCCTCTAATTTCAGCTACTATTGAGACTGAGGCAGGAGGATGGCTTGAGCCTCAAAGTTCAAGGCTATTCTGGGCAACACTCTAAGATCCCATCTCAAAAATAAATACATACCAAGTGCAGGAATCTTTCCCCCCCTTAATTTTAGAGTTGTAGAGATTCTTCTCTACAACTCACATCTCCACAGTCTCTCTCATCTGAACTACTAACTACTACAGCCTCCTGTCTAGTCTCCCCATCACAAAGATCCCAAGAAAGTGAACAGAAAACAACAGGAGAACCAGAATCTTTTACAAACACCCACAGAAAGCCTTATTTTCACTCTTCAAATCCATTATCAAAGAGAGGAGACATTTTAAAATTCCAAGGTACTTGGTTAACTAATCTGATTCTGGTCTACATGTAGATATTCAATAAATACTTGTTAAATTAAATTGACTCAAGGTTTTATTTATTCAACCTACTTAAAGCTTATGTAAACCCCTTGGAGATTTGTGTCAAGCTGTTAAGCTGCAAAAATATATGAAAAGTAGTATTTCAATAGGCTAGYTTTCCTCTTAATATGCTTTATGAGCTTAACCATAAACCAAGGGGAAGGGGGAGAGGCAGCCGGAGAGCAGAGGGAATGGAACAGGTGAGGAAGGAGGAGTGAGAAGAGAGGAGCCCATTTTTGTCATTGTCTACATTTGTCTCCATGGCTATGCTTATTAACCAGCTACTGCCCTCTAGTGCTCACTGTATAAACTGCTCATCTGAAATTCATTTTTATCTTAATCCTGTTTATACCTGAAGAGCCCAAACTTCTTGTTTCAGAGAAAAACAGACACACATTCAGAGAGAYGACATGTCAAATTGACCTAGGTGGCCTCGTAGCCTCAGTTATCCCAACTTTAACTTGTCTGGCAAACTCTTTTATAAGCATTTCTCAGAAATTTCAGTAATACCAACMAATAAAAATTATAGCATACCAATATAAGTGTTTTATATTACTTCTGATGCTGTTCCAAATAAAGATAAAATTGGCTGATGGTGATGTTTAGAAAAAGAATTATAAATAATACTGGTACATCTTAAAATTAGTACAAGTTAAGAAAATGTTAATACAAAAAGAACAGACCCCAAGTGGATTTGGCCATTTATTTGAATTGGCTTTAATCRTTGTCTCCATATAGGCTGATATTCTGCTAAAAGTTTCCCAGAGGAACCTCTTTGCTCCTTGACGGGAAAAGAAGGATTTGTCATTTTAACTTGGAACACATATTTTCATCATTTCATCATATTGCTGGTGGGAATAAACTGAAAGTTATCCAGCTGGACATGTCACTTACGAGAACATTACCGAGTAACAAAAGATTTATTCAAATATTTAATTGGAAGGAAATACATCTGGAATAAGTTTTATTGGAATTCATATAAAAAGAAAATCAAATCCATTAAAACTAATATCATAAACAGTCGACTTTATCTGGAACCAGAAATATTAACAAATTGGAATCTAGACATCCTAACCTTTATTCMTTGCAAAAAGCCAGCTGAATTTCCCAATTTATATGGCAATCACACTTTATTACTTTAGGTAGAGCTTTATTTTCAGTCAGTATTTTAGAGACAGATCATTCAAATTAGCTAATTTGGTTTCTTTTCTCCTTCCTTCTCAAAAAAAAAAAAAAAACAAGCAAAAAGAAATTGGTAAGGGACATTTTCTAGTATTCAGAATACAATCTCCTATTGAGACCAGCAAGTCAGCAGAAATTCACTGCATTTGGCTTCCAATTACTAAATAATCAAGAGATAGCTACTTTTGCCTTTAGATGTCAACGTAGATTCCATTGATCAAGTAATCAAGTCTTGAGTACCGTTTCCTGCGGAGGGATTCTGAGAGCATCCTGCCCAAGATGATGAGGCCTATCACCAGGAACAGAACACCAAAGAGYAGGGTACCCATGAGGAGCCACTTTTCAAATGGAAGGCTATATGGGCTTTCTGGAACTCTGCTTAGTGATGAACCACCTACGCTGGCCTTCCCATTGTCCTGAAAAGCAGTTTTATTTGTAGCAGAAGACTCCACATTTGACAAAGAAARTGTAGCAGATTTATGCCCAGACCTTATGTTTGAAGTCAGCATTTCTCTAAAGGGTACAGTTTCTGAGGTGCCTGTCAAGTCTGTAGATGCTTGAAAGATGGTAATTGGAACCGCTACTGTAGTTTTAACTTGAGGTGTAACCATGGCATGTGTAAAAACKGTAGAAATGGGGGCTCTGGTCTGCTGAGAGGTGACAGTGGTTACAGGTGGAGCTGTGGTGACCACCCATGGTTGGAAAGTCGCAGAGGGTCTCACTGAAGTACTGGTCGGTAGAAGAACTGCAGGTTTCAGAGGARCAGAGGTGTCAGGCAGAGAAGCAGCAGCAGCCCCTGGAGCTGGGAAGGTAGCTGCATTTTTAGGCAGTGGATGAGCTATTTCTAGTTCTGAGGAAAACGGTGAATTCTGAGAATGGACATTCTCTTTATAAACAGAGACCCGTGTAGTCGTTTGATCAGTCTTGAATAGTTTCTGCAATTGACCGGGGGATCCAGACTTCTGAGAAAGTGCATCTCTCCATAAGAGATCAGTAGGCTTCAAATTACCTGTCAGAGGAGGGAGAGTGGGAGTGACCGCTTGTGAAGACTGGCCATGGAAGAGATCATCTTCTTGTGCTAACTTTTGGTGTGGCAAATCAGTTCTGGTCAGAGATGGAAAATCTGAAAATGTAAACAAAAGGAGACTTAAATATGTCCATGCTAGGGTGGCTTAAAAAATATGACACAACAGCTTGTTTAAACTTATCTTCCAACTGATAACCGATACTTGATTTTTCTTTTTTAAATTGGAGACTGAATGCAGGGCCTGGTGTGCTAAGAAGCAAGCAGTCTACCATGAGCTACACCCTTGGCCCTGATACTTGATATTCCACTGAAATATGTACAAAAAGGAAAAATACAAGTTGCTAAATCAGAATCTGATGATACTGCCTCTCTGCCCGATGCTGTGGTTTATTTCTACTCTGATGGAACAGAAGAAATGTCTGGAGGCACTTCAGGTAAATTAAGAAAAAGATAGGAGCAGTAAAGCAGGGGGCTAAGAGGAGCTTGGCATGGGCAACAAGGGTTAGGAAGATGGGGATGGTTATGAAGATGAGGCTGGGGCAAGGGCAGAGAGCTGGGCCAAGGTGACAGGAGCAAATTGAGGACTAGCAAGCAGGGAGGAGGCTGCTGTGAAGCAYGAGCTCCTGCAGGACATATCAACTGGGACTCAGATGACAAGTAATTATTAGGACAGATTTCATAGCATGGGCACAGGGCAGGCAAGAAAGGCTACSTAGGAGCGGTGGGAAAGTGAGGTGATGGGTTCAGCAGGGAAGAACTGAACTGTGATTCCTGTGATGTCCTTTAACAGGAAGGAGGAGAGGGCTGGATCTGGTCTCAGCACACTGAACCAAGGCAGCAGCAGAAGGTTGATCACATTTCTCAAGCAAACACCAGGGGTGCACAGTTCCAGCACTGTACTCAGGAGGAAGGCTACCTGGGAGATTTAATTTTGACTCTCAAAGCTTAGAACATTATAATCAATGTCTTAGGTTAGGAGGAGGATGGKACAGACATACTGACAATCAGAAGAGCAGAAAACCTCATGGTCCTGATTYCTGTGGAGGAAGAACCAGCCTCAGATGTGTTCCTGCTGGAGAAAGCTTAGACTCTGGCTCTTGATCACACACACCATCTATCACAGCTCAAACCAGAAAAGCTTGTTCAGGTAATCAAGGGCAGCAAATGATCGTCTGAATTACTCTGCTACTTGGCTAGTCATTTTGCTTAGATCAGAATTGCAGAAAACACAAGGAAAGAAGCTGAGGAATTTCCTGGCTTTTATTGGTTGACTCCCTTCTCCCTCAAATCCCATCCATCTCAGTTTTTAAACTAGTCCTCCCCCTGTGTCCTAACAGATCCAGGGGCAACTTCATACTTGTAATATCCTGTGGCTACTCTCTAAGCCTCATACCCCTAGGTGGCCCTTCAGAGCTATCATTTATCAATCTATGTAGGACAGGGACAGCAAACTATGGATCAATGGCCAAGTCTGGCCTGATGCCTGTTGTTGTATGGCTTATAAACCAAGAATGGTTTTTACATTTTTCAAATGGTTGGAAAAAAGCAAAACAAGAATAATATTTTGTAACACATGAATTATACAACATTCAAATTTTAGTATTCATAAATAAAGAYTTACTGGTACACACATATATTTGTTTATATGTTATCTATCTATGGCTGCTTTTATATATGAGGACAAAGGTGAATAGGTACAAGAGATCATGTATGCCCCACACTGCTTAAAATATTGGCCTTAAAAGTCTAAAATAGTCAAACCTTCATAGAAAACATTGGCAGACACCTGCTTCTAGGATATAGTACTCTAAAGTAGAATCTGGATGCCTGAATTTCCTTTTTCCTCTAACAATGCAGAATAGGAGCATTTTTAGTACAGGTCATGTTCACATTCATAACTTCAACATCAGAAAACTACCTGTATCTTTAGAGAGAATTCAGGTATTAAAAAAAAAAAA